ACTTACAAAATTGTCTTTCAAGATCAAAATAAACGTTATTTTTCATGAAATTTTGTGGATTGTCACTCTTGTCGAATTTCAGCGTATAGAAACTTTTAGAAACTTAAAATTTCGAAAAAAAAGTTATGTTTAACGTAGGAGTTTAGTTCATGGCAAAGAGGTTGTAAGTGCGGTGTCAGTAGGCACCGTACGCAGTAAACAGAAATAAATGTCAGAGCTCAAAGCGAAGTTTAGTGCAAAAATAGGGACGGAGTGTCACGCAATCACTTTGTAAGCTATTTCACTCCTGGGGCGTTAATCTTCGTTTTTCATTCTCCTTGCGGCTTCCCAAACTTGTTCAAGCGCTCCCAAACAAAACCGCCAGTAACGCACCTCGAATGCAAGAGCGCCGTCACAAATCCCCAAGAAAGCTCCAGTTAACACTTCAATAGAGTTTTGTTTCAGCGCAGCTCGCGGTTGCAAGCTGAATTCCACTTCAGGTGATGCTGAGAAATATGTTCTTTCAAATAGCTCGGATGCGAAATCAAAATTTATAACCGTTTGAAAATGCAAAGGACAGAAAATATTCAAATAAAAAAAAGCGAAAATTCGCGTGTAACTGGATATAGCTTCCTTCTATTGCGTGACTGGTCTTTCGTGAGATGGTGCAATAATTCGTACCCACGCCTCTTGCGGACTTTCGAGCCCTCTTAACTTTTCCTCTTTAGTCAATGTTTATTTATTTCGGAAGTAGTGTGTGCTTTAAAGGACTGCAAATAGGTATCGATGTTTTATTGATAGTATCATAAATTCTGATGGAAAATGTTAATAGTCCAGAGATTTCATTTACCAACCAGAGGAATGGCTTGCTAAACGACAGTTATCAATCCAACGAGAGAGTGCAGAACCCGGCGAGCTCACTTTGCACACTTCGTAACATATTTACTATCATTTCCATTTGTATTGTGTACTTTGTGGTGTTTGCAGCGTGTTCTGTGTATTCCCCATTCTTTCCCAGTGAGGTAAGCACTCGTATTTATTGATGAATGATATATACCAGAAGATGAGCAAATGAATGCTATTGTTAAAATAAAACTCAGTAAGTCACACAAATAATAACAAATTGTAATATCAAGTGGGGGCTTGCTGCATACTGCCTTTCATCTGTCTCCTGGATAAGGAGTGTTGTTTCAAGGGGAGAGGGGTGAGGCAAGGCTATAGCAATAGAAGGAGCTTAGTGAGAATTATCGTGCATAGTTACCCCAATCATCGATTATTGAATCTAGAGTCAATTGAGTAGAAAGATTGATTTTTGTGCCAGTGTCATTTTTTTATTTTGTTTCATAAGTTTGTGATATATCATCTAATTTATTTTTCTATGTTGACT